TGGGCTTCCTAATGATTCCCGTCTTCACCCTTGACTTTCTCTTCTGTCTCCCATTCAACAGATCAGTTTTAAAGTACTTAATAGGTGAACAGAGCCATACATTATATTGTGGGGATGGGACGGGGGGAGGGATAGAAGATATGTTGGCCCATACAATATGCTGAGGAACTACTCCCAGGATTCTAACTTGTGCAAATAATTCAACAGAAGGAAGAAGGAAAAGGTGTTCATCCAGGAGGCAATGTCCATGGCCTGTAAAGGATGTTGGGGAGAATCATACTATATCATGGGCCTGATGGAACAAGTCTGTAATTCCTTGTGAAAGAGCAATATAGAAAGTAGCATGGAAAACCTTATTGCTCAAAGTAAAAAACAGAGTGTGCATGTGGGATAGGACCAGACATCCAAACAGACATCTTCTTAGAAGAGGCAGCTACTGACATTGGGTGGTGGCGAGATTAGTGATTTTCCATCTTTTCCCCATGTTTGTTTGGATGTCTAGTCAAAATTCTTGGGGGAAGGGCATTATTTGTCAGAGATCAGTTTCTAGCTTCTGCAACTATGGGTCAGTATTAAGGAGCCTGTTATTCAACACTGCATTCACTAAATGCTTCCTGAGAGAGTACTGTGAGCCAGCCAGATTAGCAGTAGGCACCATGCGGGTGTGGCGGTGAAGAACTTATCCTTGGTCCCTAGCCACGTGGGGCTTTGGTCCTCTCCACATCTATTTGCTGCTGAAATAGGCAGATGTTAACCTGATCAGACCTAGTGGTCTGAATCGCCGATTGAGGACATTTGCCTGGGAAAGGAAAGGAGCAAGACGGGAAAACATGTCACACTCTCCTCTAATCTCTAACCTTGTCAGGGTTTCCATCACAGTCCTAATTTTACAAAAAGCAACAGCCACCATTGAGCGAATTACTATGCCTCAACCTCAGGGCTGAGTGCTCAACTTTTATTTCCTCATTTCATCTCAGAACAACCCTGTGTACTGTATTTACAGGATATATAAAAGTAGGAGTAAGAGGGGCTAAGTAGCCTGCCCAAGACTGTGCATTCAAGATTCACTTAGGACTGTGCATGATGAGAGACAGTGCTCTTGACCCCTGCTCCCCAAATCCTCCTCCCTGCAGTGACCGTGACTGATGTGCCCTCTGGATGCTTGGGGACATCCTTCAACTGCGTCCTTCCAAGAAAGGACAGTTGGTCCATTTAATGTAATGGCTTCTCGTTTTTGAGTGAAGAAGAGGGTGGGAAGGACAGCCCTGACTTTTCTCTTTGATTTTCACGTTTTCCTGCTTTCTGTACAGTGAGGGCACACACAGCTCTGGAAGCAGATTGGGAAACATGTTGAATGGGTCCCCTCCAGTTAAAGATGACAACATCAGCCCTCATGTGTCATTTTTAACGGATGTATGTGCTCTAGGGATGAAGTGATTTGTATTTGGAAGAAATCATTCAACTGAACGTGATGGAGCTTCTCCATCATTGCAGCTGGGGGCAGCTGCATATTTTAGGGACACCAGAGGCAAAGCAGCGACCAGAGAAACAAAGTGTGGGCGGTGTGGAGCCTTATGTCATCCTGCTTCGGAGCAAGTCGACTATTAAAAATGGCTTCTAGTCAATGTCAAAGAAGTTACAAATGTCAGATGTAAAAGAGAAGACGAAAACAGTGAAAAAGGGATTCTAATGATAGATTTCCATAACATTCAAAAACTAGAAAGATCTTTGCTGTATTTACCTGAAGTTTAATTAAGTAGTTTTATCTCAGCAACCTATCAAGGAGGCCAACGAGTACCAGGGTAGGTGTCTTTTTTACAAGTGAGATGAGTGAGATCCAAGGGCATCAGTGTAGATTGCTTTGGATCAATCTATGGATTTGGAGATTCTAAAATTATAGCTGTGCTTAGTTACCTGAAATTTTTTTTCTGCCTACTCTTCACTCTCTTCCTAAGTATTTGTTGTTTCTTGTTCTGGCCCTTTATTTACTTCTTGTTTCCTTGTTAATGCCAGTTAAGAAACCTCATTGTTCTGGGCCCTCCCTGGTGGCACAACAGGTTAGGATGTAACATTGCATGCTCGCCACAGCCACTTCAGTGCGAGTTCGATCCCCCATCCCCAGAGGTGACCCACATGGCGTGGCAGACCTCTCCTGGTCCGCCTGCTGTTCCCCTCAGCAGTGTGCTTCAACACACACACACAGGTTAATGAACTGAGTATTGAACTGGTGTTACACACCAGTGGAGGAATCTTTTAGGTTAAACACGTAAACTTAGGCACCATTTATCCACCAGACTTGAAGTGCGGTTGAATTAGAACCAATTTATAAAATACAGTGTTCTACACATGTAGGTAATTGTTATTTTTCTAACTTAATTTTACTTGTGTACTAATATATTCAGCTTTTCAAATATTAAAATGCAAATATTAAAATGATTATAAAAAGTCATGATTGAAAAGTCTTAACCCCATCCCTCCTCCAGACCCCTCCACCCCCGTTTCCTACAGTACTGTAGTTTCTTGTGAGTCTTTACGCTATGATAAATAAGTGGGCATTTGTAATTCTTACACAATGTTCAGTATAGTGAATACTACTAAATACACACTGATTTGCACTAGTGCATCAAAAACTTCCATATTTGGGAGCTGGGGAACTGCACAGAATTCTGAGGTGCACATATGTCACATTTCCCTTAACCCCCCCTAATGGGAGAACTTTTTTGGTTTCCAGTCTAAACAATGCTAAATTGATCTGTTTACTCCAGGCCCAGATCTTCTCATCCATATTCAGATATAAATGTCTAAAGAATTTCCCAGAAGTGGGATTTGTGGGTCAAAAGGAAATGCACTTGTAATTTTGAGGGATAGTGCTCACTTGTCCTTCACATGGGCTGCATCATTTTTCACTTCTATCAACAATATATGAGAATGTTCCTTTTCCCCACACACAGACCAACAGGTTGTTTTTAAACTTGCAGAATACACGGATTTTAACAAATAGTATCACAATAGAGTTTACTTATCATTTTTCTCAATTTGAATCAGGTTAAGATTTTGTTCTGATAGTGGTATTTCTATTTCTTGTACTCTAAACCCTCTTTTCATGTCCTTTGATTATTTTTTACTAAATTGCTTGGATTTTGTTTTTTTCCCAAGCTGTCATCTGTGATAAGTTGCAAATATATCTTCCTAGTTACTCTTTCTTTTCTTTTTTTTTCTGTCTATTTCATAAGATTTCATTCCCTTTCATTTCCCCTCTGCTCTTTTTTTTTTTTTTTCAGAAGAATGCAAAGTACAGGGCACACCCCAGGCTTTTTAGGGCACTGTACAAATGTAATGCAAAGCAGTCGTCTTCAGCGAGGAAAATCACAAGCGTTTCATGATTCTTACAACCATTTGTCAAAATGTTAATGGCTCTTACTCTCGGTGAGAAATGAATACAGACATGACAACGTAAGAAGTGGAATTCATATTTAGTACAGTGCAACAGTGTCACATTAGAACCTCAGGAATGAAAGTATTTATTTCTTCCATGACAATAATACCCACAGTAGTCTGAACAGTGCTTGCTGCCTCCGCATTGTCCACTGAGCCAGACACAGCAGGCGACTTCTACACCCTAGTGAATTGTCTTTCTTCCTTGCCAGTCTTGATCTGCCGCCAGCACTTTAGTCTTTGTTTCTCAGTGTCCTGAGATATCTCCAGGAGTGCTTTAATGTGATGTGTTTCGCCAGCGTCACTTCATCTCTTTGTCACAGCCACGTGCCTCATCTCGGTCAGTAGATTTACCTCTACTCTGTGGCTTCTCAACCAGGGCAATGCCAATGGACCTGCGGCTCGCCGTCTCTTCTGTAAATTCACTCACCTGCTTCCCGCGTTTGCATTTGTGGTTGTTTTCTGCACTTTTCTCTTTTTTGACCTGTTCCCTTTTCCAGTTACTCATTTTCTAAAATGTCACTGGGAGACCAGGTGATTGGTACAAGTGTGAGCTTTTGCTTCCTGGCCTTAGACGAAAGAACAAATACGCAGCTACCAATCACTGGTGGACTTTGGACAAAAGGACATGGCTTATCGTTGATTATGACGATTGTCAGTTATTTTACACAGAAATTTCTGGACTGAAACACTGAAGTTTTTACATTAGGCCCTAACCCCCATCTATTGTGGACACTGGAATTTAAACTTTGTTGTTGGACAACTGGTGTTATGAATAAATTGTAGTAACTTAGAATTGTGAATTACAGAAACATGCCAAGCAGGAACTGCCAGTACAGAAAAGTGAGAAGAATAATTTAACAAAGAGCTACAAACTCATTTACTGCTATTTATGCTTTAAGTGTTTTTGTTTTTAATAAAGGGCATTTGTCATTACCAATAAGGTTGAAGATCTCCTTTGTCCCCACTTCCCACCCCATTTTCTTTCATTACTTTATGACTCACAAATCACGAATTAGAGAATATTCTTTATCCCTCTCCTGTCTACACATGTAAAGGTCTCAGAGAGAAATATACAGTACTTGAGGATGAACTTTATAATTTATACCATCGAGTATCTAGATGATCAAGGACTCAACCAGGCATTTATTTTTAAAAAAACCTGCATTTTAATGTGATTGCTGATAAATCATCTATAAGCATTAGCTAGTCATCCACAGTGTGGTGTCTTCAGCTACCATAAATTGAGGTGCACAATGGATTGATCTCTTTTTTTCTAGGTAGCTAACTTGTTAAAAAAGAATGCTTCTTTGTTTCCTAGGGCATGATGTGATGACATATATCTGAAGGGTATGATCTTGTACCTCTGAATCGCAGTGTTGTAAATCATCTTATCTCAGTAAAATTAAAACAAAAAAAATTGAGCTGACAAAACACAAATTCTGGGGTTTTCCCCACTTCTCTCCATGGAAAAAGCCAAAGCCTAGTGATATGTGTGTCTTTTGCCTTAAATCTTTTATTTTTTTCTAATCCATTTAACAACAAATTTCATATTTGTCTTCCAGATTCATTCAGGAGATTGAGCATGCCCTTGGGCTTGGTCCTGCCAAACAGTGTCCTCTTCGAGAATTTCTCACCGTGTACATCAAAAATATCTTCCTCAATCAGGTCTTGGCAGAGATCAACAAGGAGATTGAGGGTGTCACTAAAACATCAGACCCCTTGAAAATTCTCGCAAATGCAGACACCATGAAGGTTCTGGGGGTGCAGCGACCTCTCCTGCAGGTAACAATCTACTTTGAATTTACTGTTTTTACCAGCAATTTTCATTGACTTGGCACAAGTCACAAATTAAAAAAAAAAAAAAAAAAAAGAATTACCATCTGTTTCCATAGTCACTGGGGACAAAACAAGAAGAAATAAATCAAACAGGCACTAGGGAAATTTAGGACTAATGTAGAGATAATGGAAATTCCTGAAGATCTTTAAGGAAAAAAAAATGTTTGCTGTGAGTATGGGAGACCATGAGTCTCATTAACATTCAGGCAACTCATCACTATGTGCCTGAAACTTGTCCTTGAAAAGAATTCATTTTCACATGATGCAGGCATCCTGGAGAATTCAGGAAGGAAGTTCTCCTACCTAACCTCAAGTACCAAGCCCTCTGTGCCATGGGAGTTATTCAGTATAAATAACTTGCCTAGTTCACAGGGATTTGAACCTCCCTAGTAAACTAAAGTCAGGCCATTTAATTCAAATACTCATCTCATTAATATGGAGATTTTACTTTGACTATATAAAGAGCTTATTGCTCAACAACAGAAATAATTTGTTAGTAGATATTGAGATTAGTAGGCTTGTGGTATTTATTTCATTTTTTTTAGATAATGATTTGGAGGAAAATAAAAAAACCTAGAGAATTTTGGTATGAGTTTAAGAATGAGTATTCATGAACTGTGACTAGTTGGTAATGGAATCATGGTGTTTCTCCATTAAAAGAATGATGGGACAGTATTTCTTTTTTATGTAAAGTATGCACTATGAGCACATCTCAAAATGTGCAAGAGTTGAGCTCTAAAGAAAAGTTGTATAAATGGAAGCAAGTTATAGTTGCCTGAATTGCATTCTCCTTTCTGTCTTGATACATGTCTTCCTTGATTTTTTTCTTCTTTGGATATTAGAATTAATAAAAATCCTGAAACTTTCATAGCAAATGCCCTTGTTATGAGCAAAGTCGTCTATGGTATTGAGAAAATATAATAAAAGCATCCACATCTCCCAGAACTTGAATAATAGCATCACAACTAGGAAAGCGTTCACTTAGATTGTCTGAGGTGGTGTTTGCTATGTTCCTGGAGATGGATTTGTTCTGAGCATGGGATGCAAAGAAAAGAGAAAGGCTGAGGCTGTGTTCATTTGTCCCTCTGTTGGTTCTTCCTCCACTGGCTCTTTGTGTAATGGGGATCTTCTGTGTGGGTCTCAATTCAAATGTCACCTCCACAGGGAAGCTTCTCCTAACTGCTCTACCTAAGACCCCTTCTGGTTATTCACCATTCTCCCATCTCCCTCACACCCCCAATCCATTCTCAACACAGAAGGAAATCTCTTGGGACTGTATTACCAAAACTTCCCTGCAGAGTGACTTATGTTTATGTTCTGACAGTAGAAAGAACTAAAAGGAAATTAAAGGGTGGAGAGGAGCGCAGTTAGCTTATTTCTTCAGATCTGAGGTTCTGCCAAGGTCACATCCTGCATTGCCCCAGCTCTAGCTGGGCATCAATTCTTCTCCTTGCCCCGTGACTACAGCTTTCTGCTCTTACTCATCTCTGAGTGTCTCAGCATGCCCACTTGCTTCTTTTAATGCTTCCTGTTCTACCTCTGTAAGTCATCTCTTCATTCATGTTTCTTCCTTTGGGCCATTTGAGTAGAATTCTCTTTCATGTCAGGAACCTGAATAGATCACCCAAGTTAGTCACTATGTTGACACTTCTTTCTCCTTCTTAACTCAACTTTAGATTTTATTTTCTACCTTGTTCTGTTTTCTCTCTTTTCTCCCTAGAATGTGAGTTCCAAAAGCATGGTATAAGACTAGGCATCAAGAAGGTGCTCAGTAAATAATTTTTTGAGTGGATGCATACATGCATGAATGAGTGGGTGTGTGATTGGTTGTGTGGATGGGTGAATGGGTAGGTGGATGGATGGGCACATTAAGTAAACTTTGAAAATCCTAGATAATTGTTGAATCAGAGTGAAAAGAAGAAGGTAAAGAATGACAGAAACTGTTTACATTTATCTTCTGTCTGACCATATCATTAGCTGGTATGTTTGTCAAACATACAAAGGCTGTAATGTGTATAGCCTGGTGTGTCAGGCTGTATGTGTTACAGAGCTACTTTAACATGCTGAGTGTACAGAATTTAAAAGAAAACAAAAGGCAACTATGTACTGCAGAATGAATCCAAGATCCAAGAAGTTGGCTTACTAAACACTAAGTTGCAGTTTGCGTAACAAAGATACATTAATGTTCATAACTAGCCTGGTACTATCTGGGCCAAGTCAAGGCTTCACACTCCCCCGAGAGCTGAGCTGATGTCTCTTGTCAGGCCACTCCCAGCCTCCTCACCAGCCATTTGCACACGTTCTGTAGCTCTGGTTCTTCAAGTCAATTGCTCTATTCCAAAGCTAGATAAGAACTCCAGCTTAACCTCATTTTTCTTTGACCTTGTCAGAATAGGATCATATATGTGAGTAAATCTTAACACCAAAGGCCATTCAGGCAGTTAATCTCCCAATTTGCTTTCACAGCCAAAGCCCCTGCTTTCTTATTTGGTGGTTTTGTTGCCCTCTTTCTTTATAAAAAGTTTATTTTATGAGAATGCAGATTAGTTAGACAATATCAATCCATTTATTTAATATCCTTGGAGTGCCAAGATTACAAAAGCAAATGAGGAGATATTTATTATCCTTTCCCATCTTGGGAAATTCTCTTGCTTAATAATGCTTGTAAATTGTTTTCTGATGTCATTTCCCACATCCATGTTTCAGTGTGTCTTAAACATGTTTCTGTGTCATCGCATAGTTTTATTCCCAGCTCCCAGCGGTGACCTATTTCAAGAAAAAGCAACAAATAATTCTCAGAAGTTTTAGCAGAGACTCCAGAACAATGGTTGAGAAGGGAACTTGGAGAAATCTGTGTGAAGGGTGCAGATGGGTTAAGCATTCAGTTACCTAGAGCAGGCAGGTCTTCCTGGTGGGAGGCTGAAGTCACATCACAGTCGAAGAAAGGACCATGTGTTTCCCCGATGAGGCCCCCAATGTCTGGAAACATCAGGGAGTGGGAAGGACAGCTATCTCAGGGACGTTTCCATTTGCTGGTGATAGGAACACATGGGAAACCCCCATCCCTCTCTGAAATAGCACCGTAGCAACACAGTTGGTTGTGAGGGGCATTTCACTTTCAGGTTCATAGGCACAGAATTCATAGGAGCGAAGGAAAGAATAAATTGTAGGCACAGTTTTATGGGTAAATCACCTCTGTAGGTGTTCGTTGCAAGAATACAGCACCACAGTGTCAGAGGAATAGAAGTGCTGAGAGTAATGGTAACTTTCATACTAGTGGACAGTAGTGATGATAGGTGCTAACAGTCTAATAGCATTTTATGGAATTCAGACACTATTCAGAATGCTTTCACAGCATTGACTTGTTAAGTATAAGTAATAGCTTTGTGAGAGTGTTATTCGTAATATGGGGAGGAATTGAGAAACTGATATTAAGTAACTTGCCTGTAGTCACATAACTAGCAAGTACTAGAGTGGGAATTCAGACACCAGCAGCGTAACCCTGGAGGCCCCCTCTCCAAGCCAGTTTCTGCGCAAGGTGTAGGCTGGACTGTGTGTTTATTTCCAAGGGATTTGTTACCAGACAGCTTTGAGACGTAGAAAATTAGATGTAAGCATATGTCTCTTGCTTTTTTTTATTTGAGATGTATTACTATGGAATCTAATAACACAAATCAGGACTTGAATTTTCTCTGTCATCATGGGTTTCTTTCCCATTTCTTTTTTCTAGTAATTTATTTGTATTGTGTTTGATAAAGTATCAATCTGCAACAGATTGGTGACCTGGATTCTTTCCATAGCTGAAGACCATTTTAATCCCTTACCCAGCCCTGGAGTAACTCACAGAGAAGTAGAAGCATAACCCTGACCATCCTCCTTGTCCCAGTGCCTAATACACTTTCCAGCAGCTGAAACAGCTGGCTTATTAAATTGCAGGTCCCTCTAAATCCTCTAGAGCAGGGTCTACAACGGAAAAGATACTCAGTATTTCAAAGGGTGAATGGGTCCGTGAGTGAAAATGAGCGCATCAGTGGTAGTCCTTGGTGTAAGGATGTGTGTGTGCATATAGCCTCATGTTCTGAGGTACAGGATCTTGAGTTTAAGGTTCATGACAGTGAACTTCATAGTTTGGATGCTTCGAAAGCTATCCATATGGAGGTAGAACTGAATATACTTCACAGTTTTACCATCTGAGATTCCTCCATTGGCATCGCTTTTTCTGCAAAGTGGCATTTACCCAATACAAGGAAAATTGTGCTGATATAAATGAAGGAAATCTCTTAAGAAAAATATCTCGTTTCTCCAGAACCAGATCTTCTGCCATTCTGACTAAGGAGCTATGGAAACAATCACTGGAAGTGTGTCCCTTGTCTATAGGATGATACAAATCATTCATTCCTCGGACATGAGGAAACACTGACTGAGCAGCCAACTTATCATGTTTTGGGGGCTCCATTTGGTTCTGGTCTAGTGTCTCCAAAAAAGGAGGGTGGGGGGCAGGTACCAAGGGCACTAAGGATAAGATTTTTATATCTTGCTGAGTGGACACCTATCTGCGTAAACAAAACATACACGTTGAGTTTTGTCCCTGACTTCCCCATGTAGCACTTTATTTCCTTGTCACTTAGGAAGTGGTCAGTGAACTGAAGCCTCAGACCTGTGGGCCAGTATCTGCACTTGTGCTGTATCTCCAGGTCGTCTTGTCTGCACGCTAGAGCTTGTGAAGCTCTGCCTTGTGTCCGTGCAGGACAAAGCAATCAGTGAAGCAGCAGCTAAAGCAGCATCACCTGGGCTGTTCAGCAACACAAGTTCCTGAACCCCCTCTTCTTGGGGGCAAGCCCAGAACCTTCATTAACACCAGCATTGCCTGCCAGGACACACCATTCCCAATTGGAGAGTAAAATGGAATGCAAAGCTGTGGACTCAGTCTTACTTAAAAAATCCTT